CTGATAAAATGTCCTTCTGCAAATGAACATGAGGTTAAACACATTTTCTTAAATGGAGTCAACTCTACGTTCTGGTTGCTTGATTATTTTATGGTATGGATCTGCCCTTCACTGACAACAAAAGATATGCACACCTAGGCCTTAACTAGCTAACAAGAAACAGCAGGACAATTTTACAAACATAAAAATTGATGCAGAAAATCATAAATTCATTCATAAACTTTTCCATAATACATATTTTATATGAATTTTCTGAAGACTCCTTGTATACAGGAATTCAAAATCATTTTTTTCCTATTGAGAAGCACCTGGTATCCTCTTATCATGGAAGGATAAAGAAAAATTTCTTATGAAATAAAGAAGGCTGGAGCTAGCATTGTGGTGCAATGGATTAAGCCACCGCCTGTGACGCTGCCATCTCATGTGAGTGCTGGTTCAAAGTCATGGCTGCTCAACTTCTGATCTAGCTCCCTGCTAATGTTCCTGGGAGGGAGGTGGAAGATGGCCCAAATTCTTCTGTCTTTGACCCACATGGGAGACCTGGATGGAATTCCAGCACCTGGCTTCAGCTTGGCTCAGCCCCAACCAGTGTGGCCATTTGGGGAATGGACCAATGGACAGAAGATCTCTCTCACCATCTCTCTCTTGCTCTTTTTGTAATTGCCCTTCAAATAAATAGACCTTTAAGTAGACAAGGTTAAAAAATCATTTGCACAAAATAAATTTACCTCTTAATTCCATTTTCCACTAACTTTTAAAATATCCCTGTGTGTGTTTGTACAAAAAAATGGGGAATTATCTGTAGGAGATACTGTGCGGATCACATATTTTATCACTTCATTTAATGAGAAATTCAGAGAGGTAGAACACTATCAACCTTTCCTTGGCCCTGTATAGGATTTCTGCATTACCTCAACTGAGCACGTGTTAAAGTACTTGGACAGAACACATCTATTATATCCCACGGAAGCTCCTTTATTAAGAACCACGAGAGATACTTCTTCTGCATATTAAGGCTCAAAGTATGTTGCTCTCAATCCGATGGGCACTGTGGATGATTCAGGATTGTTGACATTGCCCTTTTTGCTTTGAAGCTGAGGGATAAATACCTAATTACCTTTAACAAAATACATGTTTTGAGATACATTTAAATGTGTTAGCTTATCTCAATTTCCATTTATTGTTCCTTTTAGTTTGGTCCATATCTCTTTGTTATTCTTTTGTATACCATCTTAGATAATTATAAATTACTCAAATCTCTTTTGGAACAAAAGTGGATTAAAATTCAGTCAGTCAGCACATAAACATACTTTTTTAGGATTTCTGCTTAAATGTGTCAGCCATTATCTCTTTCCATTTATTTTCTTCAACAGTTCTCTGAGCCCAAGTTTTCTTCTAAAATCAATACTCCATTATTTCTTGGCCATTCACATTTTCAAAGAAACATATTGGACTTGATTTTCCAGAAATGAAGTAAGAAGGGTTAATTTCCTGTTCACATCTTCACACCCTGCTTCTGTTCCACATGAATTTGAAAGTTCAAATTAATTGTCTTATTAGTTTGTGTAAATCTGATAAATGGCATTTGAAACTTGACACCGAGGCTATAAAATGGTCCAAAAACTAGTTTATCACACACAAAAAATTCCCACAAATCTTGCATTCATTTGTTCAGTTGACATTTTATTCATTTATGTCTTTCCCAACAAAAGTCATTATTCATTCATTCAAACACTGAACTATATACAATACCCCAAGAAATCTCAAAATACCAGAAGTCTACATGGAAGACATGTGTATATAAAAATAGATAAATTATGATACATAACTAATTGAGATGATAGAGATCTGAATAAAATGTGATAGTCCAACAAAGAGAACCACCATGGGTGTGGGAGGGTGGGTGTAGCAAGTAAGTCAGAGGAAATGAAGAGTGAAGATAAAGAATAAACAAGATAACCAGAAAGCATTTCTTCTTGTCAGTGCTTCTGTCACCAAGTTTTAAAGCAAATTGCATTCTAATTTCCTTTTCAGTCAGGCTATAGTCTTGAAAAGGTCAAGTTTAACACCTTCAGCTCATCTAAAAAGCCAGTGCTTAACTACACACAGGCCATTATGGGAGCCAAGAATTCACAGGAACCGCAGCCCTTCTGCAAGTCACTAATGGGGAGAGGCACCAAGACTTCACCTCAGCAAATGTGTATAAAGAATGGTCAGGTCCTTCCTCTACATATGCGGATGAAGAGAAACCTCTAACAGAAGGGATCACAGAAAAGTTAAAGTAAGATACATGAGAAAGGCAGAAGAAGCACCAGCACAAATAAGAATAGCTACACATGTAAATTAGTAACCAATTTTAAGAAGAGCTGGAAGGTATAAAAAGGCAAAAAAAAAAAAAAAAACACAAAAAACCACCAAGTTCTCAATTTTCTAAGATGGATCTGCAAGTTTTACTTCTTAAAAAACAAAAAAGAGTCATGGAACTCTTCTATGTAAATCAAAATTGAAAGGGGTCAATACTGCATGTAGTCGGCTTAACCAGGATGTCACTACACAGTAACATGTAAACCTCTGTTAATTACACAGCAAATACTAATGGCATTATCAAAGTGTGCAAGTGATATAAACACAGCAATAGATTCTCCGCAATGCTTTCTCTCATATATTGGAATTTCTCTCTTACGACTGTCCAACTTGAAGAGAGAAAGTGGTGAGTCTCCTTGGGAATGAAACTACCCAAAGGGAGAGTCTTCCAAACAGTCTTCCTGCTACAACAGGAAAAGTTCGGGAAGCATCATTAGATCACTTTGAACAAAAGAATGCTCTACAGCTTTGGGGGGCTTATAAAACAGATCAACTGGAGGAAAACAAGCCATGAAGCTAAATTACCTTCTACTTACCTTCATTATCCTCTTCAAGAATGCATAGTTTAAAAGGAGACAAGTCACTGTATTAAAAATTACTTGCTCTGATATTGTGCAAGTGACATCAAATAATGAAGAAAAATTTAGATTACAAACTTTATGGTCTCAATTCCAACTATCAACTTTTACCAAAGTAAAATTCAAATTCAGATTTCCATTTTTAATTATCTTCCTGTCAAGTGCTCCTCCAATATGCATAACAGTGACAAAATGTTCCATAACTTTTTAAAAGTATCCTAAAATTTTAGAATGTAAACATTTCAGTTAGGAAAATAAACATATAAAAAATGTAAATATCACCCTAATCAAGGATATAGGATAAAATTTAAGTTATAATTATCTCAATAAAATTGATAAATTCTTCTAATGGGATCAGTATTTTCAGTTGCGTATTTTTCCTTTCAAGACTAAAAATACTTTCATTCATTCTGGTACTACCATGCTGGAGTCCCCACATCTCTGCAGATCACTGCTTTAGGAGACTCCATCTTGGCCCTTGATTAACTGCTGAGCCTTAATGTGACAAGGGGGTCCTACAAGGAACATTTCCTATATTTCATCTCTTATTTGTTGATTATTTCAAGGAATACTAAGTAGTATTTTAAAACCACTGGATACTGAAAAAAGAGACATTTGAGGTCAAAGTTCCCATTCAGTACACTGGTGAAAAGAGGAAAGAGGAGGAATACTTCCTAAACACATCCCTCCAGAGATGGGGTTAAAAGCAGGAAGCTAGCTGGGTTCCTTATTGCAGAATTTTGGACATGTGGTGTGGGGTTGGGGGGATGGTGGAAAGCCTTGTGGCATGGAGGGTAAAGCCACCACCTGCAACACTGGCATCCCATATTGGCACCAGTTCTTGTCCTGGCTACTCCACTTCCAATTCAGCTCCTTGTTAATGACCTTGGCAAAGTAGAAGATGGCCCAAATGTTTGGGTCCTTACCACCCAAAGGGACCTGATGAAGCTTCTGGCCTCAACCTGGCTCAGTCCTGGCCATTGCAGCCATCTGGGCAGTGAATCAGCAAAAATATCAGACAAGGGACAAGAACAAGACTATACAGTTTTAAAGAGAACTCATGAGGAATGCAACAACATGAAATAATTGCAATAATAATTATAACAGTAAACACTAAGCCAGGTAGTGCAGTATTCTAGTGGTTCACACAAACACATATAATCCTCAAAACAGCCCTGTGTAGTGGCTGCTATTCTCATCATCATTTTTGAGATGAAGAAACTGAGTACAGTGGTAGGAAATGTGTCTGAGATCACAAAGCTGGTAAAAAAAAAAAAAAGAGTCCAAGCTGCACACTCTTGGGTTCAGCTCTCTTGCTACCAATCCAGTTTACTTTTCTTAGGAGTATTTTCTCTTGTGAGCCAATGAGGAAAAAAAAATCAAAATTCTTAACTCTAATACCCATGCTACCACTTAGGAATATGCTGTCAGGATGAAAATTACAAATAGCCATTCTTCCCTTCTATTCAGTTGTCATTCATGCATCAGAAGTCAATAGTCCTAGTCTATCCAGAGAAAGTTGGAATTTACAACACAAAATGAAGAACAAAGGATAAAACAACAAAATTTCATGAAGCATTGTTACACAGATATGATGCTCAACTTTGGTGACAGGGTATTTTCCTAAAATCGGGCTTAGGGATCAATATCCTACTGAAATTCCTCCAAATGAAGTTGAGGCTAACCTCACACTATCTTCCCAGGCAAGACCACAAAATACTTCAAGACAACAAAAGGAACAAAGAGATAAAAGAACCAAAAGCAAAAGTTTAAAGAAAAAATACTTACATCTGAATACTGCATAATCCATTAATAACTACATAAAACTGAGATTTAATAAAACATATCTCTATCTTTTCTCTCTCAGGTATCTCCAAAAGAAAAGGAATAAGAAAAATACAAAGAAAGCAGTCAGTGAAGAGACTGACAGAAAAGAGACGGCGTGACCATCATTCTCTTTGAAGACAGTAGTCAGAAATGCCTCTTTGGGTCCAACTCATCCCAAATGCAATGTCAACCTCTGACCTCTAGGGCTGGCTCCAGCTGGATACCTTAGGGAAGTGGCTCTTAAACTTCAATGTACATCCGATCAATTATTGTTTCTAGCTATTGTGTATATTCCCCCTAAACTAGGGCGTTTCTGCTTTTCACATGTGAAACTTCTTATTTGGTGAAGTATTAAGACTTTTACTGTAATGTAAATTTAAAACATGTTGTCTCAAAAACTAAAAAGAAAAAGAAACAAAGGTAGAATGAAGGAGGGTGGAAGAAAGGAAATATCACTATGTTCTTAGACTTGTATGTATAAATCATATTGAGTCTGTTAACAATTAATTAAAATTAAAATTAAACATGAATTAAAAAACCCTTCAGTGTACAGAGTAATTACTGGAGAATTTCAGTATCTTGTCCTCCAACACTCTAACTTGGCTCCCTTGAATATGTGGCAGAAGAATCTTCAACTTAACAAGCCTCCAGTGATTTTAAGTCATTTGCAAATTCTACACTAAAAAACACTTAGAAAACAAGTGCACACTCACTACCCAGTGCGTACTGCAGAGATACATTATGCTGCCCAAGTTCAGAGCATCGCCGTTCCCACGTCCTACCTGTTTCGGCCTTCTTCGACCTGTGCTCTTCATGAGGAGGTTTTGATGATGGCCACACAGACGGGACTCTCCTGGGAAACTGCCCTTCTGTGTAATCCAGCGAGTGTGTGGGTTGACTAACGGCAGCCCAGGTGTAAAGTTGATCTTGCTATATTTAAAACAGAAAATAGTTAAATGCTATTAATTCAATCACAAAATAAACCTGGACTGATACACTGCAAAATCATGTCTATATAAGTCCCATAGACATACACACATATATAAAACATTGGGACGGCAATAGCGTCCTTGCCTTCAACAACAAAAGACCCAGGCAACTGATTTATCTTGGGTCCAAACTAGAAACTAATTAGGAAAGAAATCTTGACAAAGTAAATGAACCTCACAAGAATAAAAAAAATGGATGAGGATCTTCTGGCAAAGAAAGGCCTTGCCAACTGCCGACTAAGAATCTGGACAGAATGAGAAGAAGGCTCGGAACTACACCTAGCACCCAGAGATAAACTAGAAATCTCTCAAAGGAAGCTGCCTCAAGGAAAACTGCTCATTAGTATTTCAGAATAACAATATGTTTAACTTTTTTACAGTACATACACTCAAGATATCTATGCTGCGTATTGTCTTTGTGACATTTTTCTATTCATGTACATCTCCCTAGCACTTTTTGATCAACATCAGTAAAGCAAAGGGAACAAGAGAATCCTAGAAGTGAAATGAAAACTAAACACACACACATACAAACACACACACTACACAAATACTATAATCACCAGGTTGAGCTGCAAAATGCATGATTTAACCAATGGCAAATTGCTGCTGTCTCTGTAATTTGCTTAATTAATTTAAAAATGTATAACATGGGCTATTACAATAACAGTAATATAAAAATTTATGGATTGGGGCCAGTGCTGTGGCACAGCAGGTTAAAGCCCTGCCTGCAGTGCTGGCATCTCATATGTGTACTAGTTCGAGTCTTGGCTGCTCTACTTCCAATCCAGCTCCCTGCTAATGTTCCTGGGAAAGCAGTGGAAGATGGTCCAATTGCTTGGGCCCTGCACCCACGTGGGCTCTCCCCACGCCCCTTGCCCCCCGCAAAGAAGCTCCTAGTTCCTGACTTTGGATTGGCTCAGCTCTAGCCACTGCAGCCATTTGAGGAATGAACCAGCAGATGGAAGCCCCTTCTCTCTCTCCCTCTCTCTCGCTATGTCTCTATCTCTCTCTGTAACTCTTTCAAATAAATAAAACAGAATTCCTTTTTTATACAAATGTATGGATCAGTTAGTTTCAATTTTGGCCATAAATAAACATTCAGTTTGTGGGGTGAGCTAGGGTATTATCAACAAAAGGCTACATTTCAGAAGTGGCTAAGCATTTCAGCTACTCATATGTGATCAACACTGAAGCTTCACTATTTAGCTTACTGAACATCAGGAATAGCTTTTCATCAGTGAAATTAGTAGTTTATTTTACTAACCTGATGAATGTTAGATATGATATCTCACTGGAGAAACTGAAGTAATTTGATATAAATGAATCGGCTAAAATGTCAAAGAATACCCCATACTTGAATAGCTGAAGATTCAGGCAATGGAAGGTGTCAAGGCCATTGTGCCCTGATGGTGCTCATCCAGCCTGTAGTTTTGGAGGACATCTCCTTGCCTGTTGCCAATGACGGGGCTCAGAATCCTGCCTCATTCATGGCTGCATTACATGAATCTCACTTGCAAGCTGTAGTCAAGCATCTACTCAGGTGGTGAACCAGACATGCCCTGACCTCATAGGTATCCCATGCATACTAACATTGATCACGTAACATAAAATGTCTATGTGTTGGATGGAATTTCATTTGAGATTTTCTTTCATGACAGCTCAGTAAATCATTACACTGTATACAAAAATTAATTTAAAAAATGAATCAAAGACCTAAATGTAAGACCTAAAAATATAAAATGCTCAGAACAGAGGAAAAGCTTCCTGGCACTGAATTTGGCAATGATTTCTTGAATATGACAAGATCACAGGCAACAAAAGCAAAAAGTGATACATTAAGAACTTCTGTGCATTAAAGGACATCCTCTAAAGAGTGAAAAAGTAACCTATGCAGTAGGAGAAAATACTTATAAGTCATATCTGATAAGAATTTAATATTTAGAATTTTTGAAGAGCCCACACAAGTCAACAACAAAAAAACAAATACCCAGTTCAAAAATGGGCAAAGACCTTCAACAGATGTTGTTCCAAAGAAGATACAGAAATGACCAACAAGCACAAGAAAAGGCACTCAGTATCATTCATCATACCATTTCACATCCTTTAGGATGGCTGCCACAAAAAAGTAGTAAGTGCTGGGGCTGGCGTTGTGACAAAGCGGACTAAGCAGCCACTTGTGCTGTCCCAGCAGCTCCGCTGTCAAGCCAGTTGCTTGCTTGCTTTTTAAGATTTATTCATTTATTTGAAAGTCAGAGTTACAAAAAGAAAGACAAAGAGCTCTTCCATCTGCTGGTTCACTCACCAAATGGCCACAATGGCAAGGGTTGGGCCAGGCCAAAGCCAGAAGCCAGAAGCCATAGTGCCAGCGTTTAATCCAGCTTTCTGCTAATGTGTCTGTGAAAGCAGCAGAAAACAGCCCAAATAATTGGGCCCCTGCCACCCACAAGCAAGGTCCAAATGGAAATCTGGGCTACTGGCTTCAGCCTGACCCAGCCCTGGCCATTGTGGACATTTGGGGAGTGAAGTAGTGAATGAAAGAAGTCTCTTCTTCTCCTTGTCACTCAGCCTTTCAAATGAACAAACAATCCTTAAAAATGAAGAATATCAAGCTGGTGCCGTGGCTCAACAGGCTAATCCTCCGCCTAGTGGCGCCAGCACATCGGGTTCTAGTCCCAGTCGGGATGCCGGATTCTGTCCTGGTTGCCCCTCTTCCAGGCCAGCTCTCTGCTGTGGCCAGGGAGTGCAGTGGAGGATGGCCCAAGTAGTTGGGCCCTGCACCCCATGGGAGACCAGGAGAAGCACCTGGTTCCTGCCTTCGGATCAGCGCGGTGCGCCGGCCGCAGCGTGCCAGCCACGGCAGCCATTGGACGGTGAACCAATGGCAAAAGGAAGACCTTTCTCTTTGTCTCTCTCTCTCACTGTCCACTCTGCCTGTCAAAAAATAAAAAAAAATAAAAAACGTAAGATGTTAAATGCTGTGTGCATTCTGCCATAAACAATCTCTTAATATTTTTTAAAAAACAGTGAATTTCCCAGTTGTTGGAGAATAGTTAAGTTAACCTATTCAAAGGTTATACATGATTAACTTGATTTAGGTCATTTAACAGGTGACATGGACATGGCTGTGGTTTAAGAAAGCATTGACATGCAGCTACCTTTCTAACATCTTTCACCCTGCAGTTAGTGGCAAAAATACCTTTTTTAGTAACATTTAGTAACTGACTAAATCCACACACCAGAAAATCTACCCAAAAAACCTATTTTAAATCTTCGCAGTCATTGCCTCCTAACATTTTCTAGTAGAGCAGAATCAAGCAGCCACAACACCACAGTACCATGAAGGGCAAACAGGGTCTCCACCTGAGGTAGCACCTCAGCCATCACTATTTGTGTGAACTGAAACAAATTACCTTAAAAACTCCCACATTTGGATTTCTCATTTGTAAAATACAATGCACGTAACATGGTTAATACAAAGCTTGGGCCTCGAGGATCTCCAGGAGAAGGTAGGGGCAAAAAAGTGGGCTGCGGTGTTCGACAGTCTCCAAACCTGGCCCCACAACCAATGACAAAGAGCCATCAACCTAAAAACAATCTCTCAGCCTCCAAGCTGTCTCCACACAAAAGAGGCTGCACCAACAGTCAAGAGAATCAACTGTCACTTTGGTGATGTCACCATTCACCAAAATATAAAGTATACTAGAAGCACTCTATAAAACCTCAGAAAAAAATAACTAAATAAACGCTGGGTTGGTTCTCCAGTCTCTCAACCACACCACAGGGTCCTAACACATTCTCGTGTCATGACGGTAAGCCTCTGGTTTGTGGCGTGACTCTGCCAGCAGAAATGAGCAAGGCATAAGTGTTCTTCACGGGTCCACAGTGTCTACAGGATCAAATCCCAGCTCTGCACCTTGACTTGGCATCATTTGAATTTCCCTATGTTCTTCCCACCCACCTGCCCAAATTCACCTCTGTTTCCTCAGAGGAGCATCACGCCACTTAAATGACCTTCCTAGTGTCCGCCATCCCTCACCTAAACTCTCTGCAACTCACAGTCTCATCAATCATTAAAAATCTAGTTGGAGGCCAGCACTGTGGCATAATGGGAAAGCCACCTTCTGCAGAGCCATCATCCCAAATGGGCACCGCTTCAAGTCCCAGCTGCTCCACGTCTGACCCAGCTCTCTGCTAATGGCCTGGGAAAGCAGAAGATAGCCCAAGGGCTTGGGTCCCTGCACCCACATGGGTTACCCAAAAGAAGCTCCTGGCTCCTGACTTCAGATAGGCCCAGATCCAGCCATTTCGGCCATTTGGGGAGTGAACCTGAGGATGGAAGATCTCTCTCTGTAACTCTGACTTTCAAATGAATAAATAACCTTAAAAAAAAAACCACCTCTAGTTGATGTTCCGCCTCACCTGGAACACTCCCAAATCAGAAAGCCAACTCAATAGGCCTGCTATCCAGAATGGTGAGTACCTATCATCTTTCCTCAGGTTCACTGAAAATTCCTGCAGGATGAGAAGGATGTACACAGGACCTGCAAGTCCCCACTAGCTCTTGATATTACAGGGATGACTGCATAAAAGTCACTTAATGCCTATTGAATTAACACATTTCTCCCATAAAAAGAAAATATATGACTTGTTCATATGGGCAGTGACTTAATCTAGTAACACCATTTTCTTCATTTGTTTACTAAGGTATCAAAAGAGTGCTTTGTGGGTATCATATAGAAAAAACAAAATATCACATTATCTGTTAGATCTAAATCCATGGGTACCATATAATATAAAGAAAAATATGAAGTAAACAAAACCAGAATTTACGCATTGATCTACCCTAGGAAAACATCCTAACTCTTCAGAGCTTCAATGTTGTCATCAATAAGTCAGGAAGAATGCCTGCCCTTATTTTGTTGTAGAGGAATTGCATGA